GTAAATGAGATACTTGTCAACAAAGGATTTCATTTCACTTGAGCTGTTAATAGATCCTGATTGAATGTTTGCACAATATTAATCTATATATAAAATGCATCTGTCTTGATTGTCCCATTGAGAGACAGCTTCACAGTAAGCAATCTAGGGTTATACTGCCCCCTACAGCAGAAGTGGACACTAGACAAAAACAGAAGCTTGCACCAGACCAATCTTACTCAGTTTTGCATAGTGACCTCAAGGAGAATGGATGTTTCCTTCGGTCTCATCTTCAGTAATAAATCTTCTTGAAACACTCCATAAATGTTGCAAGCCTATCCTGTCCTGAGCAGAGCTTCATGTTTCGGAGATCACTGCATTGCACATTCCCGTCATGGAAAACTAGCAAGCAGACTTTCTCAACAATGTTGGGACTCAGGAGAAAGGTCTCTCCATCCAGGGATGTTCCAGGACATATGTTGGCGATGGGTGATACTGGATTTCCTATCCTTTTGGTTCAAAAAGAAGCTAAACCATTTTGTTTCAAGGATTTGGGGCCCAATGGCAGTGCTGTGGGATTGCTACGCCCTAATCTATGCCTTTCCTCTATTTAAGCTTTTACCTCGACTGCTGCGAAGGATCAAGGCTGAAGGCATTCCAGTGTTTCCCATAGCAGCAGATTGGCCTTGAAGAGCATGGTACGCTGATCTTTCATCAGTCAGTCGATGACCCTTGGCCTTAATCAGATCTGTTGTCTGAACCACCAAACTTTCACCCTACTTCTCATTTGGTGGCTTTAACAGCCTGGCTGTTGAAACCCAGGTTCTAAGAGACAAAGGCATGTCAGAGTCAGTAATTCTTGCAATGCTTTGGGAGGGTACCGTATTTTTCCGTCTTACCCAAAATTCAGAAATCAATATTTTCCATGCTTTTTTGGATAACTGATTACATCCAGTTTAAATTTTGTAGAGTAAGACAGCCGCTTCCTGGTATTGGTATTTACCAGGATTTTTTTTGTTTTCTGACATTTTTATGGGCTCCCTGTTGCATCTGGGCACTGGCTACATGCTCTCCGCAGCATCAGCTGACGTCGGGTACATAAGGCTCATGATTGGAGGAAACCTGTTAGCTTGTCTCTGCAATGGGAAGTTTCACTCGTGAGGCTAGTTTGCAGAGGTATCGGCAGTTTCGCAACCGCGGTTCTCCTCTCCTATAGTCTTATACATGGAAAAATACAGTAAAACTATTTCTCACAAGGTTTATCATTGCATGTGACGGACCTTTTTTTTCTATTGTCCATTGAGGGACACAGCTCTGAAGAATTCTGAGATGTAGGGTTATGCTGCTGCTGAGAAATGGTCAAACAAATTGAAAGCCTTTCACATTAAGGACATAACCCTTCCCATCTCACACCTGCTAGCTTGTCATTCAAGCTTATGAGTTGTGGGACAGGGTACCAACTTTTCCTGTTTTTTTTGCTCATTCTACTAGGACTTCTTAGGCATTTCATAATCAAGCTTCTATTACTCAAAATTTCAAGGCCTCCACTTGGTCTTCTGGTCACACTTTTGCAAAGTTTTATAAAGTTGATGTTTTTGCCTCTTCTGATGCTAGTCTTTGCAGAAAAGTTTTTCAGGCAGCTGTTTCAAGTGTACATTGACAGTTCATTTTTTTGTTGAGTTCTTTACTTGTTGTGATGCCCGTTCCTCTGTTTGGACTGCTTATGAACGTTCCTACAAATTTTTCAGAGCTTTGTCCCTCAATGGACGACAGATAAAATAGGACTTTTGTTCTTACCGTAAAATTATTTTCTCGGAGACCATTGAGGGACACTGCTCAAGTTCCCTTGTACTGCTTGCTGCAACTGGCTGGTCTGAGGGGTTATGTCCTTAAAGTGATGGGCTTTTAATTTGCTTGCCTAGTGTCCATTTCTCCCAGAAGCAGCAGCATAACCCAACATCTCAGAATACTTCAAAGTTTTTTTCATGGGCCATGTTTTTTGCTTTTTTTTTCCAGCTAGTAGTGGAAACACACTTGGCCCTTAGTACCATCAAGGATCAGGTGTCTGCCTTGTTTATTCCTTTTTCACACCCATCCTATGAATCATTTACTACTTTTTACTCTGTTAAAGGGGGTTGGCCATGTTGTTCCTGTTAGGCCTCCTCTCCAACATTGGTTTCAAACCTAGTATTGTGGTTGCTGCAAAGATCTCCCTTCGGACTGATTTGGGACATCTACTTGGCATTGCTGTCTTGCAGGGTAGCCTCTCTTGAGCCAGGAGGGTTTTGGGATTAGCAGCTTTGTTTTGTAGGGTTCAGGTTTGTTGGTTTCTTATTGGGCTGGGTCACCTGTGTTGTTTGGGCGTGCCACCCCTTTAGTTTGGTCTGCTTTTAGACGTCACTAGCATTGTCCCTCAATAGAGGATAGAGAAAATAGAATTAACTTTAAACTCTTTGCTTGAGTTTTTTGCTATCCTTCTTCTTTAGACTGTTTGCTACAACAGAGCAGGATTGGTATGGATGGGGCTAGAGTCCTCTGGTGACAGATCTCCAGTTTTTTTTTTATGTCCCTAGTGTTTATTTATCCTAACGGCAGTATAACCCTAGGTTGCTTACTGGGAAGCTGTGTTCCTCAATGGACTTCAAGAAAAGGATTTTATGGTGAGTACTAAGCGTCTTCTTCTCACTCAGTTATTCACTGTGTTTAGTAACTGAGTGATATTTCTGTAGGCAACAAATGAGCCTGATTTGATTCTCAGGCTAACAAAACTAAACGGACATATTAATTAAATGTTGTCCTTGGGAATTAACCCATTCCTCTTCAATGAAACCTCTTCAGTTGAATATTTTTGGCTCAGGAAGCTCCTTTGTACTTAATGTTTTGTTTGAGAGCCACCAGGGCCTCTAAATTGTGTGTGTGTGCAGGTCCAGCTACTGCCCCTGTTCAGGCTAAGGATTTAGGGCTGCCTTAGGGTAACATCTTCTTGCTTACTCCAGACATATATGTTCATTGAAGGATAGAATCCTAATATGCAGTGTGAATCTGCTGACCAGAGGGACATAGAAATCCCCCCAACTTTAGGCCCACTTCTCTTTGTACTTGTCTTGCTACAGCTCTTTAACGTCATTTGTTTTTTTTCCTGCCCGTGTTAAAAATCATACTTGGTGTGTGTTTGCCTTCAGTCCCTAAGAATAAGGGATTTTGTTCCATTTCCCCCTCATTATTCCCCTGTACGTTTGGGTACTATCCAGTCATTGACCTCCACAAAGAAAGGTTTATCAAGGCTGTTGTAGGTAAAGTAATTGTATGTGATTGTGAAGGAGAATAATGATATTCATGTTTAATTTATTTGTAATAATAATATAGGCTTGACAAATCTGTTATTCGTGCATCTCCAAACTGCAAATTTATTCATTTTTGTTTTTTCTTTCATTTACATCATGTTCGTTAACACTAAGGGGCAGCAAAGTACAATTTCCCTTATTACATTATGTACATAACATGGACTTCTACCCAATGTTAACACAGAGCTATATTGATAGTTTTATTAGAATGGATAAAATGCCTTACCTAAATACATTGGTGTTACAGGAGCCCTTGAATTTGGTCATGTGGTCTCTGCTGCATGGCGGGATCAGAGTTTCGAATGTATGATTCATCCCTAAACCAGAGATCAGGTGACCAAAAGTTTAGGCTTTTGTTCTTGTAACTAGCCATACAGAAGGAGCCTGGAACAGTGTTTTTTTGTCCTAGACAGACAACTTATCCAGCATTTTGTTCTTCATTTATATTTCCCAAGAAGTTGTTGTATTTCAGTTTTGTAGTCAAATTTGAGAAAACACCACTAGTTTGGTATGTGTTCCCCTTCACACAGCATACCTAAAAATAATTTTGAAAAAAAAAATTCCTACATTGTAGATGTTTCTTTGGAGCAGGCCTTTGGGCAGACTACAAGCTACTCTGAACAATTTCAAAGTGAGTCTGTCCTCAGTCAAAGTAGGGACAGAGTGAGTTTCCCTTTATTAACATACAATGCAGAAATAAGAATTCTGGATATTTATCCCTTCATTAGGACATTGTTCACGTCTAGTTTACAGCTGATAATGAGATCTGCCAGCACAGTGCAGACATGGTTAAATAAGGTAAACATTAACTCTCCAGCCCCCATCCTTGGAATTGCAGAGGATATTTTGGAGTTTTCAGAAAAGAGCACGTAAAATGGTAAGCAACAGTTATTCAATATTTCTAAAGTTGTGCTACTTGAATGGGTGTTCTCCCAATTTGGCTGCAAAAGTGGAAATACACTTTAAGGCAACAAAAAGAAAACATAGACCATAGATTAACCTTCAGTACATATAAAACCTTTTACTTACAAACAATGAACTACAATAAAATAATCTTTTTAAAACAGATGTGATCTGTTTAGCCACCTTCCAATTTTAAAAGATGCAGCCTAAGATGTGATGTAGTCTCATGACTTTTGGATAAAATTACTCCTGCTGAAAGACTGCAGTTAAAGGCATTCACTACTCGTACCTGTAATAATGTCAAGTGTCTATGTGTGTATGATTTTATTATGATAACTGGTGTTTAATATTAAAATAATCTGTAAATGTCTTCTAAAGACCCATCTAAATGAACGTTTTTACAGACCTGCCACTGTTGATGATTATTGTACAAGCGTTATACCTTACACCACTGATACCTTACACCACTGATCCTAACTACCTAGTTACAAATTCCTAGTACTTTATGGATGGCAAAACTTGGGTGGGAGCGTGAGCTGAAAGCACGGCTGCAAAGCAATGAACCCAATCCTTGTACAGACATTGTTTGAATTATTGTTGATTTTAACCTGCATGCACAAGAAATCAAACCATTACACTTGTTAAGTTGATACCTTTTCTCTTTTCCCTTTGCTAGCACTGCATTTCTGTTTTCCACTTTCTTTGGCCTAACCTATGCTTGTTATGCATTTGTGCATGTACAAATTAAGGGGGTTTTGCTCTTAACTTTGGTAGTTCACAAATGGGGCACAGATGAAGTGGCAGCATGGCTGGATCTGCTCAGTTTGGGAGAGTACAAAGAAATCTTCATCCGTCATGACATCCGAGGTTCAGAGCTAGTACATCTGGAAAGGCGGGATCTTAAGGTATTTCCTTTGTGCTACTTTTTTTCCGCTCTCTAAAAGTTTCCTACTTGTGGGAGTTAAAACTTTTTCCTGTTCTCTTTCTTGTTATGTGCTTGTAGCTTGGCTTCAATAACACATTCTGTGTAAACTAATCTGCACTGTCCTGTGGCCTGCACTTCCCTGTGTGTGACACTGCAATTGCAGCCTACACCATCAGCAACACTTGTAGTAGGAACACAGCCTTTAACATGGTTGATTCTAAATAAAATTTTCATATCCACAAGATGGTTTGATAAACTTACACTAAGAAAATCCTTTGTTGTATATCTGAAAACAAAAACTATATCACAGATATAGTGGGATCAGTGTGGAAGGTTACAAATACAAATTTTTGTGTGTTCATGTTATGAATAACATTTTCTCATGTAGTGTACTGTGCAAAAAAATATGTTTTTGTGGTTTTGATTGTGCCATTGTGTTCACCTTGTGCATCTCTTGTGTGGAAGCCAAGCATGCTCATTGTATAGTGACGCCATTGTCATCCATTATACAACCTGTTAAAACATATATTCTGCTTGCATGCTATATACGAGTTCAACTCAACAGCTCAAGACCTACATATAGCTCCTAGCTACCTTTTGTTAATCGGGGCCACCGAAAGGAAAACAAGAGAACATAGAGGCTGCCATTGCTAACATTCTTCTGGACACATTTTTTATTTGTTGCATAAATCAAGTGTTTCAGACATGCAAACAATTAAAATGATCGGCTCAAACGTTGACAGCATGAAAAAATCAGTATGTTCATTGGTCTGGGCTGTAACATCCAGATTAGAAAGTCTGAGTGGAGTCAGAACTCCTGAGCTTTAGGTTTGTTCCAGCTCACTGTCTCAAATCATTAAAACCATAGGATAGGCAATCTGTGCCAGGCAACTAACATTTTTAGGAGTGTTCAGTAATGCCAGCTGTCATCATTCTCTTATTACAGGTTTCTCATAAATAGGTGCAGAGACTTTCATGAGGGTACCCATAGACATTTAATGATCTTTGGCGTGGACTAGCTGATTTGTGCCTCATTATAGAGGGATTATAGTAAAATATTATTACAGAAAAAATGCCTAATTATCATATTATTCTCAGAACAGCAACAACCTTAGAGACTGAAACTTAAAGCATGCTATAAATGCAACATAATCTATTAAAGTACAGTGTATACAAAAAGTGAACTCAGAATCAATATGTCAACATGTTGATAGATGCTAGGGAAATATATGGATGTCCTAAGGGTTAAACCCACAATGGTAAATTATATTTTTATTAGATGGTAGAGATAGAGAAAGATGTGCCAAAAGATATTAAAGTCCTGCATATGCAAAATAGCTGCTAACATTTTTTGTGCACAGTAAGCCAAGAGAGTGTAGACTGCTAGCAGCAAGTGAAAACAGAGCTATATTACATAGCAGCCAAGAAACTAAGCACAAGAGCATGCAATTAGCTATGTGAGCTTCGACACAAAACTAATGAGCAGACAGGCATACAGACTAAATTGCAGAAAAAGTAATTAAGGGAATTTATCAAAACTGGAGCAGACAGAATCTGGAGCAGTTACCCGTGGAAACTACTCAGCTTCTACAGTCTTTCCCCGAAAATAAGACACTGTCTTATATTTTTTTTACCCCAAAGAAACACTAGGTCTTATTTTTACGGGATTTTTTATTTTTTGGTATGGTAAGAATGAGAATTATACTGTTGCTCTTTCTTTCTTTTCCTCCTACTGGTCAGTATCGGTAATGCTGATCCCTTTCTTTCACTTTCACAGGCGGAGTGCATCTGGTATCACTCAGCCTGTCACAGTCACAGGCGGAGTGCATCTGGTATCACTCAGCCTGTCACAGTGACCGGCGCTATAGAGTAAGTATCGGCTTATGTGGCTCTGCTCCCTCCGCAGCCTTGCTTTCTACAGCGCTGGCTTCCTTTGCCATCCGGGACAGCGGTGCAGCAGTGGGGACATCAGACAGTGGACAGCGCGGTAAAGTACGGTACCATTTACCGGTACAGTACCATTACATTAAGCAGTGCCTTCAGGAGGACAGCAGTTGGTGAAGTATGGTACTGGAGTGCTCCCTGTCACTGCGCTGGCCGGAGGGAGTCCCCTGTCATCCCCTTAATACAGTATGTCCCCGCAGGCTGATACCATCTCTCCTGCTCTTCAAGTTCCCCCTCGCATGCTACCACCAAACTAGGCTTTATTTTCGGGGTAGGTCTTATATTACAGGAATCTTGAAAAATAGTGCTAGGTCTTCGGGGGAAACAGGGTATATTTAATTTTCAGAGCCTAAGTGTACAAACTGAAAACAAAAGCTGATTGGTTACCATGGGCAACTGCTCCAGATTCTGTCAGTGGGAGAAATGCAAAAAATGAGCAGCTTTCTTTTTCCATTTGGTCTGTATGCCTGTCTGATGAACTTGATTTTAAGCTTATATAGTTATTTATATGATGTGCTGGTACTGCAATGTTTCGCACATGCTGCATTTTCATATCGTGCTGCTGGACTTTGCATATTTTATGCATTCTGCCCTTTTTCTTTTGTTCACATTTAGCAGTTATTTTGCTAATGCAGCAGTTATTGATATCTTTTGGCACAGCTGTCAGCACTTGTGTCCTTCTTTTGCTCTGTTTATTATTATGTAATTATTACATTTTGTTGCTAAATATGTTGATTATATTGATTTAATGAATTTCTGTATATTTGTCTGCACAAATAAAAATGAATTATGTTGTATTTACCATGTGCTTTATAACATCTCCAACGTAAATGATTTATTTCAGTGATTATATTAAGCATTGAAATATATTATGTAAACGTATGCTATTTTTCAAAACTTAGTGGAGGGCTTTATTGACAGTTGCAGACCTTTGTAGTTACAAACTAAATACAAAACTGTATTATGTTGTGCATATGTTAAGGTTTTATAGTAAAACTAGAGTATGTGCTTTGCCTGTAAATGTTTTTATATGTGCTGTGAGAATTTATTCTGGTGTGTGGAATGTCAGAATAATATATTTTTTCCTGTTGAAGAGAAAAATTACTTCTAGGTAATCAACTGTACTAATGCAAGGACAGCCTTAGGGATACAAAGAGCAAGTTATTTTTACATTCCCCCCTATCCCCAACCGTTTGGCCTTAGATTGCCTAATCCTGTACATGTAACTTTTTACATCACTTTTCTCTCCAGTTCTCTTTGGCAGTTTGAGCCTTACAAAAAATTTAATCATTCAATTTGCTTTGAATATGGAGTTAAGAGCATTGTCTGCTGCTCCTTTTTTACAGTTTAAGTAGGTCAAAGTACATAGGAAGGTTATTTTTGTGGTAGAGAAAATGAGAGGGTTTGAGATTAGCAAAGATATAAAAATCTGAAATAAATATATTTTCTGTTTGCAAAATACGTTCAGTGTTTGTTGTAAATATTAAAATGCACAATCAATGTCACAATAGCAGAAATGCCATTATACTTTACTAAACATTGCTGAAGTTGCCTATTTGTGATGTTGAATTATGGAACTTTTTACTGATGCCATGCCCGTGATTAGTAGATGAAGCTGTATTAGAGTGCGGAAGAAAGAACTGCACTTTTTTGTTGAAGCATTTAACTGCACAGATATATGGGAAAGGTGGACTGTGTTAACATAAACTTGTGGCCATGCAATGGACACGTGCATATTAACAACCAGTAAAAGCTTTCCAACAAGCCCAAACTGACCTTTGTAGCTGCAGGCTGCTTCAAAAGACAGTGAGGATTTATTTTAAAACCCATTTACTTCATCTTAATACAATAATGCCTGCATGTCCTTAGCTTGATCAGTAGGTTCACTTTACATTCCATTTACTATTTTACTATTGTACAACACTAATTTACAGGCCATTCTAAACATAGTTAAAATGCACAAAATAGGGTACACACACACGCCTACCCCATTACTATTCATCTAAAGGTATAAATAGCTAAAATTGTAATTTGTAATAGGTTGTAAAAAGGAGGAATCGTACCTTTACGAAGCATTTTTATAAACTTAAAGTTTGCATGCATGTTTCCATGTTAAAACTTACATTGTGTTCAGTGTTGTCCATCTCCTTTCAAGCTATGATCATCCTCACAAGGATAAGTATTTAATCTCGAAAAAAAACAGCTCTGATCTAGACAGGTCATCTTTTGCAATGTGCAATACGCATGCCAAAATATCATGTAATGTCATGATACAACACATATGGTAAATGTATAAAAAACGTAATCATTTTGGTTGTTTTGGTGTGGTGTGTTTTGGAGTTTGCATGTCAGAATATGATGCAGTCTTTTTCATGTATTTTTCTAAGCATAGCATTGTCATTGCAGTGTGTTTTGTCTTTCTCAGTTGAGTTTAATGGCCTATATCCCTGAGTGTAATATTGAGGCTTAAGGTGCCCATACACCTTACGACCATCGCAAGACCTTTGTCTTGCGATGGTCGTATGCTTATTGAAAGCTCGTACGATCTGCCCACCTTGGACGGGCAGATCGTACTTGCGATCATCGAAAGCCCGCCCGCTGAGGGGCGGGCTTCCGATGACCGCAATGCAGAACGGGCACCGGCCCGTTCCGCAGCTATCGGACGAGCAGGCTAGAAACCCGCCGACAATCGTACGATTCTCGGCGGGTTTTCGAGCATGTTGGTTCGACAAAAGACGTGCGACCGCACAGTAGAAACGGTTGCACGTCTTCGTTCACACTGCTCGATTCTCGTTCGATCGCGGGATTTCGCCCGATTCTCGTACGAGAATCGAGCAGTGTATGGGCACCTATACACAGTTATCCCTCTGTACCCTTGCCATTTTGAGGTCATCTGTGAGCTTCAGTGTCACCAATGTAAGGCCCTTTCACGTGGGCTTTCCAATCAGGTCTGTCTGTCAGTTTTTCAGGTGGACCTGATCAGAAGCCCGATGTTAGTGTATGGGCAGACAGATCTGAAAAGGACGAGTGTTCCGTTTACATCCAGTTATTCCTGACTCTGGCCAGGTCGGGAAAAACAGATGAGACATCCATTTCCCCGAACCTGATCATGCAGGATTGGGGGGTCACTGGATGTAAACGAACGCCTGTAAGCCTACAAAAAAGCTGATTGCATCACACATAATAGAATAAATACGTTCCACTTATTTTAGAATACAGAAACAGCTTTGACTTGGATAATCTTTATACAATCATTTTAAGTTTGAACTGTTTTTATATGCATGAAGACTACTTTGAATGTTGTACCCATATCAATTAATAAAGCTGAACTCCAGGCAGGTGTAAAATACACAGTAATGCAGCCAAGTATTCATTAATATTTCTTTAAATTGAACTAGTGTTTAAATGTACCTAGATTTAATCTGTGTCAGCCTCTTGCAGTTCCCCTTTATAGCAACAATCAGGCTTGTAGAGGTGAGGGGAAGGAATGGAAGCTAATCAGATGTATTTCAGGCAAATATGCCAAAAAGGAAAATCCTGATGGGAGGAAAGAGCAAAGTGATGAGACAGATGACCTCTTCCACTGATCAGTCAGGCTGGGGGTGAAGAGATTAATCCACTTTATTCCTTCTGCAGTCTATAGCTGAATGAGAGCAATCTAAACATGTATGGCTAGACTTCTACAACTGCAGCTCAATCTATAGATTAATAGATAATAAGGTTTAAGAAATACAGAGACCTCTCAACAAGAGGTGACTACTCTTGCTGGCCTCTGGCAGTATGGTGACCCTAGGTAATAAGAATTTGAGTGGTGTGGGAACAATTATCCGCCTTAGTACCGGAGCAATTCTTTCATTTTTGCGCACACATGTTAAAATCTGAAGTTTTGGATAGAAAATTACTTTAAACCCCCAAACAATTATTATTTTCTGAAACGAAGGCCCTGAAAAAATTATGATGGCAGAATTGTTTTATGTTGCACAATATTTGCTCAAATGTTTATTAAATTCATATTTTTTTAGCAAAAACACTAAAATTAATTTTAGTGCACACAAACGCAATATATACACAATTTTTAGATGTAAAAACAAATAAAAAATAGGGTCACATTGAGTATATAGATACCAAATATGTCAAGCGCTAAAATTGCGTGCCTGTGCAGTGTGGAAAAACGATGGTACTCAAAATTGTACAAATGTGACGGTTTAAAAGCCTTTTATTGTTCATCAGTTTAGAGTTAACGGCAAATTATGGCCCTAGTATTATTGTTCTCACTCCAACGTTCGCGGTGATACCGAACATGTGGCGAAGTTGTCGTTTACATGTGCATGCCTTATGTGCTTGTTTATTCGCATGCAGGTGGCGGAGCTGGTTTTAATTTGTTTTACATTTTATTTTATTATTTCTTACTATTTAACACTTACGGGTTTTTTTTTTGCTTAACTTTATTCCTATCACAAAGGGGCTAACAAGTCCCTATGTGATAGCGTTTAGAGATTCTCTTTATGGAGACCCCTGGGGTCTAGTTAGACCCCTGATGTCTCTTCTGTCCTCCATATACAGACGATCAAGCAAAGGAATGTGCTTGATTGCCTGTGTAACCACCACCTCAGCCGGCTTCTGATAGCTCTGATCGCGGAGAAGATCAGGGAACGGTCTTTCCTCACTCTGCTCTGGCTCTCCGTTCAACACTGTTTGCCAGAGGAGTGGGGCCCTCGAAAACCATAGCAGGTTGCTACAAGTAATCTGAGAAGCTGTACAGATGGCCAGATCACTTGTACATAACAAGCATCGTCTACTAAAAAAAACAACAATAACTACTTCAAGACCAGGACTTTCAGGTACCTCATATGAAGTGGTTAAAAGTTCACTTTATTTATGATTTCTAATGTGTCATGTACAGTGGGAATAGAAAATAATCACCCCCCTTAAAAATAATCACATTTTGTTGCTTGGCTGCCTGAAATGAAGACACACAGTTTTTTTGTTTTATCCAGCAGTATTTACTCAGCAACTTATAACATCCAAGTGAAAAATATAACACCAACATGTCAGAAAAAAAATAGAAAATTTACAGCTGTTATAAAGTTCCATTTTAAAAATGCAGAGAAATGTATGTAACCTAGATAATGAAAGGAGTGTGTGTACCCTTTGATAATGCGGGAAATTGGGCATTTAGAGATCTGGACTTAACTAATGTAGAAAGCCAGTTCAACCAATTTACCTGAAAGGCAGATGATGTTGACTTTTTTTCAGGATGTGTACTCCAGAATAGTTGTGATTATCCAAAACACAAGGCCACAGCTAGTCAGCACAAATAAAAATAACGGTTTAGCATCTCAGTGTTAAACCAGAGCTTTTGGTTGCATACATTTGCAAATGCTGTACATGTGAACACCCAGTGCTGCATCAAGGTACATCTATAAAGTGTGCTTCCAACTGTTTTGTTAGAACTTGATTGAAATATCACAAGTTACAAGGTTTTACTTCTGCGTTTAGGGTCACTTATCATGTTTCTAGGACTATCGCAGGGGAGGTTAAAGGATACTATACAGTTTGCTAAATACAAAGGAAATGAACAAGGTCAATGTTGATTTAAATTGGTATTTTCATTGTTTCTATTGTTGGCATGAATAGATGTTTGTGTAATAACACCTTTATTTTGAATAATCATCCTAACGGTGCATCAGTTTTATATAGTATCTTCTTTGTGGAGACTGGCATTCCATTAACCTATATTTGTCAAACCATTCATAGACATTGTTATGTTAATATCATAAAGCAAAACATTTTGCCTGCCTTCATGTACTATGATTATTATCAAATTGCTTTCCAAAACATGGCGGTGAGAAAAAAAACTAAAATACATGTTCATCTTTGAAAATACGGTTTTAAAAGTTTTGCTATAGTGATATTCTTTGTGTGCTTACTGAAAAATCCCGATGTTTCTTCAGATATAATTTGATATTTTTCAATGATGCATCGCTGCTATTAATAAATTATTTTCTTTTGTAGGATCTTGGGATTATGAAAGTGGGTCATATGAAGCGAATTCTACAGGGAATTAAGGAACTCAGCAAAAATGCATCTTTATCTGATGTTTGAAGGCACAGGAGGTGTCCATAAATGGCACAATGCTTGACCAGAGCTCCGAGTTGATTTTAGAGGCACTGTGTGGTTTTAGTTTACAATATAAATGTGGAAACCAGGAAGATAAAGTTTGAGCATTGTGCACTTCGCTATTGTGTTAGCAATTTGGTGCCAAAGTTTTGAAAAGTCGAGCATGTTGGTTCGACAAAAGACGTGCGACCGCACAGTAGAAACGGTTGCACGTCTTCGTTCACACTGCTCGATTCTCGTTCGATCGCGGGATTTCGCCCGATTCTCGTACGAGAATCGAGCAGTGTATGGGCACCTATACACAGTTATCCCTCTGTACCCTTGCCATTTTGAGGTCATCTGTGAGCTTCAGTGTCACCAATGTAAGGCCCTTTCACGTGGGCTTTCCAATCAGGTCTGTCTGTCAGTTTTTCAGGTGGACCTGATCAGAAGCCCGATGTTAGTGTATGGGCAGACAGATCTGAAAAGGACGAGTGTTCCGTTTACATCCAGTTATTCCTGACTCTGGCCAGGTCGGGAAAAACAGATGAGACATCCATTTCCCCGAACCTGATCATGCAGGATTGGGGGGTCACTGGATGTAAACGAACGCCTGTAAGCCTACAAAAAAGCTGATTGCATCACACATAATAGAATAAATACGTTCCACTTATTTTAGAATACAGAAACAGCTTTGACTTGGATAATCTTTATACAATCATTTTAAGTTTGAACTGTTTTTATATGCATGAAGACTACTTTGAATGTTGTACCCATATCAATTAATAAAGCTGAACTCCAGGCAGGTGTAAAATACACAGTAATGCAGCCAAGTATTCATTAATATTTCTTTAAATTGAACTAGTGTTTAAATGTACCTAGATTTAATCTGTGTCAGCCTCTTGCAGTTCCCCTTTATAGCAACAATCAGGCTTGTAGAGGTGAGGGGAAGGAATGGAAGCTAATCAGATGTATTTCAGGCAAATATGCCAAAAAGGAAAATCCTGATGGGAGGAAAGAGCAAAGTGATGAGACAGATGACCTCTTCCACTGATCAGTCAGGCTGGGGGTGAAGAGATTAATCCACTTTATTCCTTCTGCAGTCTATAGCTGAATGAGAGCAATCTAAACATGTATGGCTAGACTTCTACAACTGCAGCTCAATCTATAGATTAATAGATAATAAGGTTTAAGAAATACAGAGACCTCTCAACAAGAGGTGACTACTCTTGCTGGCCTCTGGCAGTATGGTGACCCTAGGTAATAAGAATTTGAGTGGTGTGGGAACAATTATCCGCCTTAGTACCGGAGCAATTCTTTCATTTTTGCGCACACATGTTAAAATCTGAAGTTTTGGATAGAAAATTACTTTAAACCCCCAAACAATTATTATTTTCTGAAACGAAGGCCCTGAAAAAATTATGATGGCAGAATTGTTTTATGTTGCACAATATTTGCTCAAATGTTTATTAAATTCATATTTTTTTAGCAAAAACACTAAAATTAATTTTAGTGCACACAAACGCAATATATACACAATTTTTAGATGTAAAAACAAATAAAAAATAGGGTCACATTGAGTATATAGATACCAAATATGTCAAGCGCTAAAATTGCGTGCCTGTGCAGTGTGGAAAAACGATGGTACTCAAAATTGTACAAATGTGACGGTTTAAAAGCCTTTTATTGTTCATCAGTTTAGAGTTAACGGCAAATTATGGCCCTAGTATTATTGTTCTCACTCCAACGTTCGCGGTGATACCGAACATGTGGCGAAGTTGTCGTTTACATGTGCATGCCTTATGTGCTTGTTTATTCGCATGCAGGTGGCGGAGCTGGTTTTAATTTGTTTTACATTTTATTTTATTATTTCTTACTATTTAACACTTACGGGTTTTTTTTTTGCTTAACTTTATTCCTATCACAAAGGGGCTAACAAGTCCCTATGTGATAGCGTTTAGAGATTCTCTTTATGGAGACCCCTGGGGTCTAGTTAGACCCCTGATGTCTCTTCTGTCCTCCATATACAGACGATCAAGCAAAGGAATGTGCTTGATTGCCTGTGTAACCACCACCTCAGCCGGCTTCTGATAGCTCTGATCGCGGAGAAGATCAGGGAACGGTCTTTCCTCACTCTGCTCTGGCTCTCCGTTCAACACTGTTTGCCAGAGGAGTGGGGCCCTCGAAAACCATAGCAGGTTGCTACAAGTAATCTGAGAAGCTGTACAGATGGCCAGATCACTTGTACATAACAAGCATCGTCTACTAAAAAAAACAACAATAACTACTTCAAGACCAGGACTTTCAGGTACCTCATATGAAGTGGTTAAAAGTTCACTTTATTTATGATTTCTAATGTGTCATGTACAGTGGGAATAGAAAATAATCACCCCCCTTAAAAATAATCACATTTTGTTGCTTGGCTGCCTGAAATGAAGACACACAGTTTTTTTGTTTTATCCAGCAGTATTTACTCAGCAACTTATAACATCCAAGTGAAAAATATAACACCAACATGTCAGAAAAAAAATAGAAAATTTACAGCTGTTATAAAGTTCCATTTTAAAAATGCAGAGAAATGTATGTAACCTAGATAATGAAAGGAGTGTGTGTACCCTTTGATAATGCGGGAAATTGGGCATTTAGAGATCTGGACTTAACTAATGTAGAAAGCCAGTTCAACCAATTTACCTGAAAGGCAGATGATGTTGACTTTTTTTCAGGATGTGTACTCCAGAATAGTTGTGATTATCCAAAACACAAGGCCACAGCTAGTCAGCACAAATAAAAATAACGGTTTAGCATCTCAGTGTTAAACCAGAGCTTTTGGTTGCATACATTTGCAAATGCTGTACATGTGAACACCCAGTGCTGCATCAAGGTACATCTATAAAGTGTGCTTCCAACTGTTTTGTTAGAACTTGATTGAAATATCACAAGTTACAAGGTTTTACTTCTGCGTTTAGGGTCACTTATCATGTTTCTAGGACTATCGCAGGGGAGGTTAAAGGATACTATACAGTTTGCTAAATACAAAGGAAATGAACAAGGTCAATGTTGATTTAAATTGGTATTTTCATTGTTTCTATTGTTGGCATGAATAGATGTTTGTGTAATAACACCTTTATTTTGAATAATCATCCTAACGGTGCATCAGTTTTATATAGTATCTTCTTTGTGGAGACTGGCATTCCATTAACCTATATTTGTCAAACCATTCATAGACATTGTTATGTTAATATCATAAAGCAAAACATTTTGCCTGCCTTCATGTACTATGATTATTATCAAATTGCTTTCCAAAACATGGCGGTGAGAAAAAAAACTAAAATACATGTTCATCTTTGAAAATACGGTTTTAAAAGTTTTGCTATAGTGATATTCTTTGTGTGCTTACTGAAAAATCCCGATGTTTCTTCAGATATAATTTGATATTTTTCAATGATGCATCGCTGCTATTAATAAATTATTTTCTTTTGTAGGATCTTGGGATTATGAAAGTGGGTCATATGAAGCGAATTCTACAGGGAATTAAGGAACTCAGCAAAAATGCATCTTTATCTGATGTTTGAAGGCACAGGAGGTGTCCATAAATGGCACAATGCTTGACCAGAGCTCCGAGTTGATTTTAGAGGCACTGTGTGGTTTTAGTTTACAATATAAATGTGGAAACCAGGAAGATAAAGTTTGAGCATTGTGCACTTCGCTATTGTGTTAGCAATTTGGTGCCAAAGTTTTGAAAAGTTTGGATCTGTATGACTTGAAACATGGCTTGTTCAAGGACTGTGCTGGTTAGAGTATGAATGATCTTTGATTGCGGTGGCACTATTAAGTGCCATATGTGAAGTGTGACAACATATCTTTTTATGGCTTCAAAAGTTACCGAGCTTGCTTGCATGAGGCCCAGGCTTCCAATTAATAGCAAGGGTGACCAAAAAAGTTTATGTTGGTAGTCTCGGTTCATGCTGCCTCAGGTACTGCTCACTTACTGGCCAAGGAGTATGACTGACAAAAAAGGAAGAAAACACTTTATATACATGTAAAGTGAATGCAAATGAACATGCATGGAGTGTCTGTTGAAGTTGGATTTTAGTTGCATGACATATCAGATACGAAGTCAAAAGAAAAGAAAAAATACACAAAAAACTTGAACAATTTTTATATTGATTTTATTAAGTTTTAATTTATTACTACTGATGTGTCTTTTGGCTAAAGGCACTTTTGTATTATGTGTTGTATATTTTTTTTGCATGAGTATGTTCAGTGGCAGGGGATTTGTGGATGTGAAGATGTAGCCCATGTGCCATGTATCTTCAGAAACTTATGTGCATTATGTATGTTCAACATATTTATTATAGCTAATCAATATTGTTTTGTAATTAACTCCGATAGACTTAGCTTATCAAAATTACATTTTTGCAATGATAGTTACCTCACAAAATGTATCTTGTAATTATTTGGGGCCTCTAGTTTTTTTTTTTTCATTGCCTTATGTTATTTAGGGTATCAAATGTTAGTGATGTTTATCAGCAGTCTTCAGCTCAAGGAAACCAGGTAGCAATAGAAAAGATATAGTTGTTGTCTTGCCACCAGAGTTATGGTAGCTATACACACACACACACACACACACACACACACACACACACACTTACTGCTATAAGCCAAGATGCCTGGCTAAGGTTCTCCTTTACTCCTCTCTCTACAGCTCAATATAGGCAGCTAAAATGTCTTCTTTCATTTTACCTTGTACATCCTGCCTTATTCAATAAAGAATTCTTACTTTTAATGAAGAACTCCGGGCATAATCTTAACTCTTGCAGTGGGACTGCATGCTCGTTTTCATCTAGGGACGAAGATAAAAAAATGTATACTCACCTGACCCTTTCAGCCAGTTGGCTCTTAGACCGCTTCCTTCAGCTTGTCTCCTCTCCAGTGATGGCATATCCCTCGGAGTACTCGCATTCAATACAGCGTATTGAACTTGATGACTTACTGGACCTTAGACCACTGGAGCAGAGAGATGTCAGGGAGCGGTCTAACAGCCAGCTGGCTCTGAGGTTCAGGCGAGTATAACTTTTTTATTTTCGTCCTTACATGAAAACTAGCACTTAACCCTTGCAGTGCAGGGGTTAAAAATTGTTATGCCCAGAGTTCTTCTTGAAG